AAAAAAAAAAAAACTCATTCTCTATCTCTTTTTATTTTTAATTAGTTTTTGTAATTGCTTTGGGGGATGCTTGTTATTATACTCCTAAAAAGGTGTACTTGGATATTTCTGCCTTTGCTGCAAAAGGGGTGTGATTAATATTATTTACTCCTTTGAGATTAATAGTTAACTGATTTTTCCTGCTTTTATTGGGGTTGTATATTTTTTACTTCAAATTAGTTTCAACTTTCAATTCCCATGCAATATAGAGAACTTGATGCCTTCTGTATACTTCAAAAACTGATTGATCCTCCACTTCTACAGATCAAGACTTAAAAAGTGGTAGAAGATTGCATCATTGAACATTTTAAGAAGGTGAAATGCCGCGATCAAGGTGAGTGACTTGGAATGGCTTGAACTCCCTNAAGAATCTTTAGACTTTCTACTGCTTAGCTTTCAATTCGCCTATGACTATCAAATAAATTGTGAATAACCGGTCCTCCTCTCTTTCATAGAGGGGCTGTGCTTGAGTACAATTTTGTCTAATTTCTAACAGCACTTTTCCCTTTGTTTTTAATTTTGAGGGAATAGGGGATCAGAAATGCCTCAGAGGCAATCTCCTCGAGTCCCTTTGCAACTCAGAACATCAAGCTCTGATTCTGATCCTCTACACCATCGATCAGTGACTGACCGGAGTCCTAAATTGGCTGATCGCCGTTCGCCACGAGGCGCTCAATCTGATCCACTGAATCAAAGGAAACTTGGAACAAGAATTGCAGATTTGGAATCTCAACTTGGGCAAGCACAAGATGAGCTCAAATCTCTGAAGGGGCAGTTAGCTTCAGCTGAGGCTGCAAAGAAAGCAGCTCAAGAACAGCTTGAGAAGAAAACCAAGAAACCAACTGTTACTGAGCCTGAGCAAATCCAAGAAACAAACAACAACAACCCAACTCATGAAATTGCAGATGATGACAAGAAAGAAACGGATGTTTTTGAAGTTCCAGTTGAGAAGGAAACAGTGGAGCCTCCTCCAAATGTTGAAATAAGTCACCCCTCTGTTGAAGAGAACCTGAAAAGTGCAAATCCTTCACCTCCTGAACCACCAACCATTGCTGAACCGGAGAAACCATCAGTTGACGAGCTGAATTTGAAGGATGAAGAAATAAGCTCACTGAAATCCAAGTTGGAGGAGAAAGAAAAAGAGCTTCAGATTTTTTGCCAAGAAAATGAGAGCCTGAGAACGGAGCTGAATGAAAAAATGCTAGAGATTTCGTCCGCTAAGGTCAAGGAAGAGGAAACGTGCCTCAAGCTAAACCAAGTAACACGAGAGCTAGAAACAAGCAAGAATGATNGAAACAAGCAAGAATAATGCAGTTAATATAGAGGAGAAACTTGAGGCTACTGAAAAGGCAAAGGAGGCATTAGAAAATGAGATGAAGAAACTGAGAGTCCAAACAGAACAATGGAGGAAAGCTGCAGATGCTGCAGCAGCAGTATTAGCGGGAGGCGTGGAGATGAACGGGAGAAGACTATCTGAGAGGTGTGGATCAATGGATAAGCATTATGGTAATGTATTTGAACCAGCAGTTGGAGGATACGGCAGTTACATGGGTTCGCCGGGGTTGGTTGATGATTCTGATGATGTTTTTGGACATGGGAAGAGAAAAGGTTCTGGTATTAAGAAGTTTGGTGACCTCTGGAGGAAGAAGGGCCAGAAATGAGTGTCTTTTATTGAACACTTGAGAACAATGTATGTTAAGTATGGCCAGCAAAAATGGTTCCTCACCATTTTTAACTTTCTTGTCTAATGTATGGATCTTTTTCTTGGCATCTGGCAACTATTATATGCTTGTGTTAAATTTCTGTTGTTAGTTGTCTTCTTTCTCTCTGGCTTAGCTTGATGCTAACCTGTCATTCATGACAGTATCTTTAGATCCATAACTAGATGTTTTCGTGTGGTGGATAACGATGTTCGTTGCTTGGGATTGAATGCAATTATGCAATACCCATTCGAATGTCAGCAGTAAACACAAGCTAGACTAGAAACATGAATCATGCTTACTATACAGAAAAGTTAGCGTAAAATGGCATTGGCCGGAGAACCTATACCACTGAAAAGTTGATTGAAATTCCGTATTAAGATTTCTTCTTGCTCGGGGTCTTGGATAACAAGAATTACCTACCTCATAGAACTCAGTCACATAAGAAATGAAGTTCGTATCTTCGAAATGTCAAGTAGTTGTCTTTTCTTTTAAGGCAAAAAAAGATGATGCACAAAAAATCGAAGTTGGTAGAATCTGCTTTTAGTGTCCATTTAAAATCGATACTAAAACGTGTATTGATTTACATGTTAATTGGGCCTCAACATTGTGATTGCCTGCAAATCTTTTACACGCACCAGAGAGGTGCACATAAACCTCATGTTCCTAAAAAATGTATTAGAGGCATTTCCTCTGTGAAATCACAGATCACAAAATTGTCTTATTCCTTTTTTTAATAACTTCAATTTAGTCTTATGAATTTCAATAACACAAGAATAAGAAATATTAGATAGGTTCTATCCCGCTAAACAGTTCTAATTGTATTAAGTGCAATAGAAACAAAATAGCGCGCAAGCTACCACAGTTATTTTAAGAAAAATGTAGCTCTTAGACAGCCATCATCATCTCCTAATCCGCTTCACCACTTCATTCAACAAAACCTCACCTCGTTACCTTGAAACTCTGCAAATCAGAAGACAGCAAAATGAGATGAGAAAGCTGCCATAGAACTACTTTTGAACACTGACCACCTTGATANAATCCTCCAAGGCCAATTTCACATAATCTTTCAACCTTGCTAAGAAAAGAACCATGGAACTAAATGTTGTAGTGGATTTGACAATGTGAAACTAAGTTTATGTGATTGGTCAGATACAAGTGTTTTGCCAGGATATCCTAAATGGTACACTTTACCATTGCTGATTCATTAGAAATTGTATCTTTTGAATGGGAAGGTGTAATCTCAATAGTCTAGGAGAGACTATATATTCAATTTGAGCCATATAATAACACCATCAATAATCTCTTTTGAGAAAAGGGGTAAAACCTGACCCCAACTCAGCCCCAAATTCAGATTTCTCTTTTCTTGTACCAAGAAGCCTAGTTCAGTAAGTAAAGCATACCCTGACCTCAGCTGACAAAGTCCGATTAACATCCATGAAGTGTGTGACCATCTCATCTAAAAGTTTAAGCTGTTAGAGATAACATACTTTTATTTACTTAATTATGTCTTCAACAAGCCCCCTCACGTGGGGGCTTAATTCTTTTTTAGGAGCCAAGCAAGTCAAATTTTTTTATTTGATATCGGTGGCGGTGAGACTCGAACTTAGGACCTCTGCTTGCTCTAATACCATGTTGAAGTGTGTGAACATCTCATCTAAAAGCTTAAGCTATTAGAGAGAGCACACTTTTCTTTACTTAATTATGTCTTCAACAATCAATGAAACATTTTATGCAAAGCAGAACATTTAGGCAATTCTAGGGCACATACCTTCACCCTTTTCATAAGGTCTTTGGCTTTCTGATCATTCTTAAAATGATCACGCACCGGCTGCATTTCAAATTTGGTTGTGTCAGGAGGAAAACTGAAGAAAAGTGGAATCACAAATATATAAACTATACAAAAATGAATAATTAAATTGTGGCGTTCTGATCTTGAGTAACAGTAGACTATTTAACATTAACTATACCATCTGAAGCTCATAAGATACCAGAAATCATGTGTGCAATAACTTAATTTACTATTAGTTGATGTATTTCAAATATGATTGATTACACTCAGTATATACAATAAGGACCTAGAAATTCAAAACATAACTTTAAGATGTAAAAATATGCTACAAACAAAGAAGTTTTTCTAGGGTGTTAATGCTATATTAATCATGATGTAATAACATCAAGACACCAACTATCAAAAGATTACTTTTCACATTAATGCTACTACAGTAGAAGTAGCATATTCAGAGTCGATGCAAAATGAAAGAGAAAATTTGCAAATGTATATACATTATACTTCAAACAAGGACTGCATAAGATATTGGCATATATACCAAATACCAGGAGCTCAGTAAGATGTATTCATCTACCTCTAGTATCTTATTTATTGCTTTTGATAATGCAGGTTTCAGGTCCGCAGGATGCAAGTTCCCATTTTCATAGTCAGCAGCCAGTTCTTCAAAATTCTTGAAGATCCTAGTGTGGGGAAGAGAATAAAACAAAATATAAGCTAAAAACAGTACTTTGGTTAGCAAATCAGCTGAATGGATATGAATAAATGCATGACATGACTCACTTGTCGCCACCATTCTCAGTATTTCGTTCGATTTTGAACTCATTAAACCAAGGGATGACGATATACTTGATGTACTCCAGACATGGATTCTTTTCTACAACCTTCGGTGGACAAAAAGCCTTCTTTACCTTGAGATTTACATCTGCCTTTGATGTTCAAGCATGGTACAGGAAAAAAAAATACATAAGTAAATTAGAACATCAGAGACAATGAAGTAGACCTGTTAATTAAGAACAATGACTCTCCACCTAAAAACTAATGTAGCACGGTGTTACATGTAACTAATATATATAGCTAGATAGCCTAGAGGTAAAATCTGAAAAATACCTCTTCATCCTCCATGTAGATAGAAGAAGAGGGGTCACTCTTTGACATCTTCTCTTGACCTTCCTGCAAACCAGGGAGCATGTCTGCACGCCAATATGATAAGAAAACAAATATATTAGATAAAGGGGTTAGTCAGGTGAAAAGAGTTTTGAATTCTAGAATACAAAAAGATCATCGTACGATGAGACAATATAATAGGCTTGTTTTTCCTCTTGGTATCATCACAGTACTCTCTTGCAAGTACATTAACCTTTCGCTGGTCCATGCCTAGTTGACAGATATCAGCCTATTAAGAGAAAAATTCCATATTTAGCTGGTAAAAAAATAATTAAAACAAATAATCACCACTGTGGCATTGACCACTATTAAAACAGAAGATTGAACAAAAACAGACATAGAAATAGGCAACAAATGAAACAAAAAATTATGCAGCTTTCTTATATCTGTACATATGAGAAGCATATGCCACTGAACTAGAAACCCAAGGCAAGCAAGCTCTACCCATATGGAGATAATTTAAAACAACTGATAATGCTTTTTTACTCATTGACTTAGACAAGCAAGAACAAGGTTGTCAACTTTCATTGCAGGGCTAACCAAGACAAGCAAGAACTAGGTCTCAAATTAGATAACAGGAGTAACTTTGCATCCTAAAACAAGAATAGTAGTGAAGGTGCTTCTGTTTTTCCTAATAGAGCCTTAGATGTCAAACAAAGGATGCTTATATTAAACTTATCCAGCTAATTGAACAACAAATAACTTTTTTGAAATAGTTATAAGAACAGATTACCTTAAGGAAGAATATGTCAGCGCATTGCATGCATGGGTAAAAAATCTGGGCTGCGGTCAGCTCATCTTGCTCAGACCGACCCATAATTTGGCAACACCTTAGAATGAAGAAAAAACATGTAAGTAATAACTGACTGCTCCTTTTAGCATAAGAAAGAGAGTTTTTGATGCATTAGCCTTTACCTTAAAATCCGTGGAAGCTTGTTCCTTCGAGCTATGTCCATAACAAGAGGCCAGTATTCATGAGCTCTGGAGTTAATCTCTTTCGAAGACCACAGAAATTCCACTTGATCCCCTTCAAGATTCATTCCCACACCCTTCCATAACTCAATCAAATATTGGCCAACAACCTCAATTTTCTTCAAATCACCACCCATCTTGTTATTTAGCTGCGCAAACCAATCTGCAATCCAGATCTTCACCTTGCAGCCGGCAGAAGTCAGTTTGTTGACATTGAGTGCCTTCAAAACTCCCTGTTAAGCAAAGAAGTTATATAACAGGAAAAAAAAAAAGTCACAACATGCTAAAAGAACATATTAGTGCACACAAGCCCCTCCCGTAAAATTTCATAGCCATCCTGTACTAATGTAACAGGAAGAAAGAAAGCCATAAAATATAATTTTATGTAAAGGCTTGTCAATAAAAGCAATTGATCATGAATTAATTTCATTGTGTGACACGCAAACAGTTCATTGGGACTTTTTAGTCAATCTCCACCCTTAGAACAAAGACAGGTGAACAGTGCTCCATCTGGAAGAAGTATATTACGACTACCAATCATGAGAACAGGAAAAACAGTCATGTTCAAGTAGAATTAACAAACCTTAATAAAAAAAAAAAAGAAGTAGAATTCTAAACAAACTAAGCCACACACATTGCGCAATCCAGACACTTTGCAAATGGCATGATTTTTATCATCTTCATTACTGTAAGTTAGAATGCCCTCAGGGAACTCACATCTATGTACCTGAGCAATATGCATTCGACCAGATGGCTCAAAACCATCATAGCAGACGGGCTGCGGCTTCTTTGCTAACAGATTCATCAACTCATCCTCCTGTATGCATTCCTCCCCAATACTCCTAATAATCTTGAACCTCTCCTCCACACTCATCCTAAAACATTAGCATAATATAACAAATTCAATCTCAAATTTGAACAAAAATGCATTCATATGCAAACAAGAAAAACCATTCCATAGATCTCACCAAAGATATCAATGAATCCTCAATTACAAACTAATTGGGATGGCTATATGAGTTACTTTTTAATTTTTGATGGTGGTGGTGTCCGGGGTAGTTTGCGGCACCTCGACTACTCCACTGGGCACTTGGTACCTCCGGCTTCAACTAGCACATGTACCGGGATAACTCTGACTACCAAGGCTTAGGCATATGAAAAAAATTACCTAATGTAGTAATTTATTTGCCTCCCATTGGGATGTGAACCTAAGACCACTGGGACACACCTTGGGTGCAGGACGGCTATATGAGTCTTCTATATATGTTTCACGCTATTCGGATCCATTTCATTCCAATATTCAATAATTTGTCAGGGCTCTCTATAAATCTCTAAGATTACAGGTTATTAACAGAATTCACTAGCTCTTCAGAAATTAAAAAAAAAAAATACTCCAAATAGAAATTATATGATCCGTGAGAGCAAATAGAGGCAGATGCTTACTGGGAAGTGGCAATGGAAGCGTCGGATGTAGAAGCCTTCAATGAGAGTGCATCAATCGCTTCTGAAGCCTCTTGATTATTCATTATCCAGCAAAACGACAGTTGAATTAGGGTATTATGTTATATTTTCGTAGTTCAATAGCTCTTCGGAAATTACACAGCAAAAAAAAAAAAAAAAAAAAAAAAAATTGAAAGAGACTTACTGGGAAGTGGAAATTGGAGGTTTAGATGAGGAATCCTTCAAAGAGAGA